TTCATAATTCATCACTTCTCTTTATCTAAGTTAGTGTCAAGCATAATGCGTGTGACTCAATAAGTTTCTAGATAAGTTTACAATATACCGAGAAACAAAAAATGATTCTTTTATCTCTCGATACATAAATCAAGACTCGGTCTCTAGTAAAACATCGTAATTAATCATTCATCAAAAAGGATTCTTTAATCTATAACAACCTTTCACAAGAATGATTTTCATATAATTTAGTCTTCATGTCAATTTATCACGAGTGTGACCTTGAACTTGATTTGGAGTTTGCTTGATTATTATTACACAAGTTTTCTTCGATCTTCGAATGTCTTAGATCTCAAGTAAACAATTCATGTTCTATTGATATACTTTCACCGTGACCATAAATTCTTGAGCAAATATTCACTAAAGTGTAATATTATAACTCCTTTAGCATATAAGAAATGATATGTCCTATCTTAGTTATCCACCTATCTTTCTTGAATTTTTGATATACCCAACAAATCGCTACATGTAGCTTTTTACCGAGGTTATCGTTACGAATATCAAAATACACCAATCCTCTAATAATTATAACCATGATAACTTCAAGTTAAAGAACTATTCTCATAAACTATACCAAATAGGTTCTCGTGGTGAGTCATGTCCAACGATATGTTCTCTAACATCATTCACATGTGTGCTTTCTTAAGCATCACCATGCCGATAGGTGTAAGATCTTCTACTACTATTTTATAGCAATAACATAGCACACACAAGTCTTACAATATATTATCAATGTTCAATTTTGATATTGCTATGACTTAAGATATTTAATGATTTTATTTAAGTGCATTGGCGTTTGTCTCGAATCTATTAATCAATCAGTAAAGCAATGAACATCATATAGATTTTTATTTAATTTAATCAAGTTATAAATAATATTAATTAATAGAAAGATTTTTTTAATAATAAATATACAATGATACCATGTATAAATCATCCAAACATATTGGATCTAGGACACCTACACTAATAGTCTTTCATTTGTACTAGAGCCAACTAGCCATGTTTCTAATACTCGAAGATAGAATAAGAATTTCATATTTCTTCTATGATAAGACTTTAATATGCTATATTGTCATCGGTTTTCTTCTTTTTTATCCTTATATCACCATAACCGATAATTTCTCTCATCAAATGATAACACCGTAGTATATGTTTGGACTCGTTGATGAGACCTTAGTTCTTTAACTCGCACTATAGCTCTATTGTTGTCATAGTATAATACTATAGGATCAATAACTCTTGGAACCACTTGTAGTCCAGATCACGAACTTACGAATCCATACAGACTTCCTTGTAATATATTCAACTTCGATTTTTGAGTCAACTATGATTTTTTATTTCAAAATTTTCTAGCTCACGACACCGTCATTCATTCGAAAAATCAATATTGATTGTGACTTAAAGTCATCATGATCGGCTTGAAAACTAGCATATTTGAACTCTTTCATTACTAATTCATGTTTTTTATAAACTAAGAAAACATCCTCAATTCTTTTCAAGTACTTAAGAATGTTCTTTATAGAAATCCGAGTGTTTCTTATCTAGATTAGCTTGATATCTACTATAAAATAATTTAGGATACTCGACCTTAGATTGATTTATGCCATGTGATATTGGAAGAAATCCCTTCTTGATTCTTTCATACTAAATCTCTTTAGTATTTTGTTAATTTACATATTTTAGAAGAGTCGTAATATTCTTGATGGTTTATCCCTATAGATCTTGATTTCTAGAATATAGGTTATCACTTCTATATCTTTCATAGAAAAGTTTTTAGATAGTGAATATTTTACGGATTACAATATGATAGTGTCATTATCAATCGGTAGTAAGTTGTCTACATATAGAATGATAAAAACTATTGAGCTTCCATTAGCCTTTTTGTACACATAAGGTTCATCTTTATTTTAAGAGAAATCAAGCTTTTTGATCGTTTTAGCAAAACATTGATTCCAACTCCTAAAAGCTTGCTTAAGTCTATAAATAGATTTGTGTAACTTATAAATCTTATTTGTATGTTCTTTGATGACAAAACCATTAGGCTATGTTATGTATACATCTTCATGTAAATTTCCATTAAAGAAAGTTGTTTTGACATCTATCTATCATATCTCGGATTCATGATATGTAGTAATCGCAAGTATAATTCTAATAAATTTTTACCATAGCTACTAGTGAAAAAGTCTCATCATAGTCAATTTTTTATTTTTTATGATAACTTTTCGGCACTAGTTTGGCTTTATATGTGTATACATTTTCATTCATGTCGATCTTTCTCTTAAAGACCTACTTACACTTAATAGGTCTGACACCTTCGGATGGATCAACTAAAGTCCATACTTAGTTAGTGTACATGAATTCTATTTCAAATTCTATAGCATCGAGCCATTTCTTAGAGTCAATGTTTGACATTGCCTCATAGGTATTAGGTTTATCATTCTTTATGAGAGATATTTCATCAAGTGTACATATAAGAAGACCATATATTTCTAACTCTTGAAGAATTTGTTTAGACCTATGAAGTTTTTATGTAACGAGTTATGAGATAGTTATAATATTTTGTAATCTATCTACTCGGGGTTCTACAAAGGGAGCATCAATTTGTGGGTTGACTTGAATCTCATCAAGTTTAACTTTCCTCCTATTAGTTCTAGCATTTATAAATTCCTTCTTAAGAAATACATGATGTCTAACCATAAAAACCTTTTGTTCTAGCGAGTTGGTAAAAGTAATATCTATTTTTTTTTTTTGATATCTCATAAATTTACACTTTGTAAATTTAGGCTCTAGCTTGTCTCCATATACACGTTTGACATACGCTTCATGATCCTAAATCTTAAAGAAAGATAGATTTTTCTTGTTTTCTTTTCATATCTCATATGGTATTTGATCAACGATTTTGTTGAAACCCCGTTCAAAACAAAGATTGCAATAAGGAGTGCATATTCCCAAAATAAAATAAGGATATCGATAAGACTTATCGGGAATCAAATCCTATCTAATAACATCCTATTCTTCCTTTTGAACACACCATTCATTTGTAATATTCTAGATGGAGTCTATTGAGAGAGAATCTTATTCTCTTTTAGGTGATCTAGAAACTCATTGCTCAAGTATTCACCACCTCAATTAGATCGATATGTCTTGATACTTTTTTCGATTTATTTCTTGACTTTGAATCTAAATTCATTAAAATTTTTAAAAACTTTAGATTTGTGTCTCATTAGATACACACAACCAAAACATGATCTATCATCGAGTAAAGATTATGAAGTAATCCTCGCTCTCCTCTTATTTGAATGGACACGGGTTCGCATACATCGGTATGTTAACAAGTTAGCAGCCCCTTCTCATTTTCTAGTAAACGAGGATTTTGTCATCTTGTCAAGCAAACAAGATTCGTAGACATCATAAGATTCATAATAAAATGAATCTAGATTTTTATTCTTATGAAGTTTGAATATGCGACTCTCGTTTATGTGGCCAAGATGATAATGCCACAAATATATTTTATTTAGATAATTTGATTTAAGTCTTTTAATATTTATGTTATATATGAGAGTGTTTATGTTTAAAACACACAAACCATTATTAATAATAATATTTTCATACAATACTTTATCTTTATAAAAAAACAAATATTATTCTTAAATAAGAATGAAAATGCATCTTAGTTCAAACAAGAAATAAAAATAATGTTCCTAGTAATACTAGGAATGTAACAAAAATTTTTGAGTTTAAGTACATGCTTAGAGGAAAGTGCCAACTCAAAAGCACCCACAACAAATGATACAACTCTTGATCCATTTCCTACACGTAGGCCAACCTCCCTCGAAGCAATCATTCTTGATCTTCCAAGCTCCCGCATATTTGTACAAATGTGAGCATCATATCCAATATCAAATACCCATATGAGATTAGAAGTAGAAAAATTAACTTTAATAACATAAATACCCGAAGTGTTAGTAGAACTCTTCTTTTGTACCTCATCTCGCGATTCTAATGTCCTTTTTATTTGCAATAAAAATAGATTGTATCTTTTTATTTATTTTGAGCCTCGACGTTTTTAACCCCTCTAATATGTGTAGTTGAAGGTTTATTCTTTTGATACTTAGGCTTGGTTTCGTCCTTTACCTTGCCTTTACGCCCATTAATAAGAAGAACAACGCTCTTGTTTTTTTTTTTTTAATTTATCTCGATCGAGCTTTTCTTAAAATGTATATGATTTTTTTGTATCTCTTGAAAAAATTGAGATCATTCCAAATTATTTTCTATTTCTTACAATTTTGTAAATATTTAACATTTAAGAAAATTTAGAAAATACTTACTAATCTCCAAAAAAGTTTAAAATTATTTTTGAAAGTAGATTGAATATATATATATCAGCACAAAATATAAAAAATTAAACTTTTAAAAGGAGTTTTTGGTCAATGATAATAGAGAAGTAACGGTGCATTGCCAAAAATTAATAAGTTAGAAACGGAAAATTAAAATGGAGGACATAACTAGGTTTTTAAAAAGAGAGGGACTAAATTACATTTGAGTTGAACAATAAGGGAGCAAAGAATAATTAACTCCAAATAAATTAAGTGGATAACTACGAAGCAGAGTCAACAAGGTTAGATGAGAGATAAGCTAGTCCGAGTTTTACTTTTTCAGAGGAAAAAAAAAAAAATGAATGCTAAGGAAAGGAAAGATATATTAGACAGACAAGGTATCCCTTCCTTTTCTTCAAGTGTGAAAGGTTTGATCATTAAGCAAAGCCGCTGTCTTTCTCTCTTCTTCTCTTTCTATAAGTCTCAATCTCCTTATCTGTTTCTTTCCCTTCCCCTTCCCCTTCCAAGTTCCAACATTCCCTCAACAGAACAAAACCATACCACCCTCCTCAAAAGACACCCTTTTCATTTTATTCGTCCTACCTCTCTCTCCCTTCTTAAGACTCCAAAGAACAGAAACAAATGTGGCAAAAACAGCACGATAAATCATCTTTTAGAGAATCTCTCAAAGCTCTTGAAGCTGACATACAACATGCCAATACCTTGTAAGTTCTACAATATTATTCATTTCCTTACTCCTATTTTCATTTTGATATTTATCAGTAATTGGTAAAAAAAATCATGTTTGATTTTTCTGGACTTGCATAATTGACTTCTTCTGTTCAGCTGAGGTATGTGGGCTAGAAATTTGTCACTAACAAATATCATTTCAATTTTTGTAGTTGCAAGCCTAGATGTAATTTTTCATAAACAACGATAGAGTTGGTGAAAATTTGGATATGAATTGGGTTTATGATGATTTGTGTCTTCACTCGTACTTTTTTTAAAAAAAAAAAATTTGGTTACAAGTGCTGTAATTGAAAATGGGGCATATCCATTATGTTTCTTATTTTCTTTGTTGGATTGGTTTGGTTACGAAATTTTGTCTTCGATCATTTCTTTAGTTTGTATGTAATATTCCTTTTCTATGCTCGTTGTGAACTGTTAAGGGTTGATTAAATTGAGGGTTGATAGGGGTTGTGGTGGGGTTTTGCAGGGCAGCTGCTCTCCCAGGAGATTATGGTGGGAATTGTGTGCAAATGAGGTTGTCATATAGCCCCCTGGCTCCCTTCATCTTGTTTTTGGTGGAATGGTTGGACTATAGTTGTACCGATGCCCTCCCTAGTTATTTAGGCCTTCTCCACATACTTGTATATAAGGTGGGTTGATGTTTGCTTCAGCTTATACTGCATCACTCCTTCTAAGTGTATATATATATATATATATATATATATATATATATATATATATATTGGAAGAGATTAGAGGCCGTAATTAGACGGTTGTTTTCTGAAATGCTGTTCTCATGTTTTTTTTAGTGGCTCTAAAACACTCGAATTAAGTTCATTTTTTATCCAGGTTTATGTTGATGGAATGCCATCAGTGTCCTCAAAAGAAAAAAAGGCCAGTCTGAGGGAATTTTACGGTATGTACATCCCAAGAACCTTTTGTTATTGATTTATTCTCCAACATCTTTCTTCTTTGACTTCTGAGTGCTTTCAATTCACCTATCTTTTCAGCTATAATATACCCCTCTCTTAGTCAGCTTGAAGGTGAGTTTATTGAAGTGGAAAATAACCGTACGAGAAGCAGAAACACTGATGTTTTGAGCAGAAAGGGGGTGGAAGACCAGAGGAAGCTATCTGAAAGCGATTTTGAGAGAGACGAAGAGTGTGGTATATGCATGGAAAATAGTGCAAAGATGGTATTGCCCAACTGTGGGCACTCTTTGTGCATCAGCTGCTTCCATGACTGGTAAGTCAGTTTTCGATTATCCATTTTCTTCTTGTAGGTTGCTTATTAGCATATAGATTAGGAGCTGCACTTGCTGTCACTTGTATCTCTGTCATAATGTAACCTAATTTTGGACAGGAATGTGAGATCTCAGTCCTGCCCCTTTTGCCGTGGAAGCCTCAAGAGAATGAGCTGTACAGATTTATGGGTTCTCATTAGTAATGGTGATGTTATTAATACACTTGCCCTTGCCAAGGAGAATCTAAGGCGTTTCTATCTTTACATTGAGGACCTGCCTTTTCTAGTGCCTGAGACTCATGCGATTCTGTTTGATTACATGATCTGACTTGTAGAAAAAGAATGTAGTGAACCATATCACACACTGCCAGCCATTATTGTACATACTAGTATACGATGGAGAAGTTTGATTTCATCCGCCATGTGGCTGGTTAAAATTTGACGTTTCAGTGTTAGCTGTATGTGATCAACTAAATTGCTGGATCCTAAGCAGGTGCTTTGAAAGTTAAAGAACTTTCAAAGCACTTGCATATATGTGGGATGAGTAGTACATGTAATTGGTAAATACTAATAGAAAAGCTCTGCAGGGCATTCAACCCAGCTTTTTGGAACCTGAGTGTCGGGAATGCAGAAGTCTAGAAACTTATTGCTTGTGTAAGTACTTGGTCTCTGTTTGCTATGCTGTGTTAATTCGGCAAATATCACGGATCAAATATAATGATTAATGACATTACTGTAACGAAATGGGTCAAATTATCAAGGGGCCGGCCTGTTAATTTTTTTTCTGGGTTCAGCCTGCTTAAATAATCAAAGGGCCTGTCTGTTCATGTTTTTTCTGCGGTCCAACCTGTTTGTGGCAGCTGAAACTTTTCATGGCTGGTTTATAATAACATAGAACTTAATTTAATCTTATTAATTTTTTCTATTCTCATCTTAGTACCTCTCAGATAGTAGACATTTTGAGGAAGTGACTATTATGAAACTGTACATGGAAAAATAGTAATTAACTAGTTTTTAACTCGAGTTATGTTGCAGAAGCTGGACAGAACATGTAAAAAATAATTTTGGTTTGATGATATGTATTATATTATGAATCTACTAAAATATAATAAATCGAAAGTAAAATTAAAACTTTATTTTTTTAATTTTGTGTTTAACTTCATTATTTCTTTTATAATTTTTTTGCTAAAAGGAATACAATTTATTTTTCTATATCTGGATTTTTAATTAAAAACTTGTGAGAAAATTCAAAAATCCATTGATTCTTAACTAAAAGCTTTTGTTATAATTTTTTTTTCAAAAAAACTCTAATACAAATTATCTAAAAAATACTTCTAATCTTTATATATATATATATATATATATATGCTTTTATCATTTAAGAATTCATTATATAAATTATATTAAAAAAATTAAGAGCAAACAATCATATTCTAAAAATTCATTAATATGTGTGTATGTGTGTAAATTAAAAGAATTTGTCATATAAATTATATCAATTTTTTTTAAGAGCAAATAACAATATTTTAACACTTCATTAAAAAATTCACATATAGATCTCTCTCTCTCTCCCCCCTCCCTCTTTTCTCTTTGTTTCTCTCTCTTCGTAGTCGTTAGGGACCAAATCATAATACAAATAAAGTTATGGATCGAAATAAAATTTATTGAAAAAATAAGGGAAGAAAGAACAACATGAGCAAAACTTTACGTATAAAATATTTTTAAAAACCCTCAAAATTACTTTTAAAAAAAACATTCAATGTACATTAAAAATGAGGAGAATAGTGTTATAAGCGAAATAAATGTTTTAAAAAATATTTAAAATAATAAAAATACCACTATCTTAAAATCACAAAAATACCAAGGTGAATAGTATTGTTGTTAGAAAATAATATAAATCATATCATGTTGTCTCACCTAACAGACTTAAACTTATGGGTCGAGATGGTTCTTTGATATGATATTAGAGTCCCGATGACCAAACAATCACAAGTTCGAATAGGTCTATGCTAGTTTCAAGTCTAAAGGGCTTTCACTTGAAGGATTGTGTTAGAAAATAATATAAATCATATTTTGGAGCCTCACTTAATAATTTAAACTTATGGATTAAGATGGTCCTTTTACAATTATATAAGTGTGTGAATAGAGTTTAAGAATAGTGGAAATCTCATCTCTTTTAGGGTTCTTTATAATGATATCTATTTCCAACTCTCCATGGTTTTGATGCGAGAGCATTCCTAGTAAGAAGAATGGCAGGTGAGAAATTGTACAAGGAAAATTAGTAATTAATGATATTTATTTCCAATTTTTCATGGTTTAGATGCATGAGCATTCCTGCTAAATCCAACAATCCACCAATGGATTTGAATTAGATGGTTCTAAACAAACCTTAAAAGAACCCGAACTCAATCCAAAGAAATCAACAAAGCCAAAAATGCATGTGACAAACTTATAGGTACGAGTTTCAAATTCAAATGTAAACTTGTATTCATTAAGAGTAAATTACCGAGCAAACTATGAATCCTTGGTTAAATATAGTGTCTAATTTCGCATCAAATATTGCATGATTTAGAGCTTACTACCAAACATTGTATCATTTTACTACAATGTGAAGACTCGCTAAAATAGAAATCTGGGCATAACAAAACAATTTATGTCCTATTTAACAACCTCGCAAGACTATCCTTTTGTCAACAAACATTCAATAGAGCTTTGAAAGTCTTACTTCCATCTCACTTGCATGTTAATATTGAGCAAAGAAACATAAATACCATAATGAAAGCTATTTACCTTGCTTGAATAATAAAATAAGAGCTATAAATAATTAGCTAAGATAAAATAAGTAACTAATAATTTTTTTAAAAAATAGAATACTAATCACACAATGAAAACATAAATTTTACATGAAAAATCTCCTCAATTTGACAAGGAAAAACCACAGGACCAAAGTCCTCAAAGACTTTCACTATCAATAATAATGGATAATATAAGGAGTCTTCTCTAGATTAAAATAGAGGAATATGTCAATCAAAAACATCAAAGGTTACACACCTTTGATAAATATCATCAATAAATTGTAAACAAAGAAAAAAGAAGAAACTAAGTTTAGATTTCATCAAAAAATAACATTGTTTCGAGCATCATATCTCACTCTTCAGGACTCAAAACCTACTCCCTATAGTTCAGAATATGCATTTGTCTATCCCAAACATACCCCTCAAATTTGAGCTCGATCCAACGATTAATAAAATCAAAAACTCAATTTTACTATGACTAGTCTATGCTGAAACTTTCTTCGCTCTTTCTCTCTAAAGTTATTGCTCTTTTTTTTCTCTCTACTTTCTTCTCTAATATGATCTCGTAATTAAAGAAAAGAGAGGGTTTTTAGAAAATATTTAAATTACCCTTCAAGTGATTAAAAAACCCTTCTTCACATAGGCTCCAAGAATTAGCTCATGTAGGCAAACCTTTGGTTCATCCTCCAACTAGGAGGGAAACCTAACAACCACACCTAAGCAACCGTGTAGAGGAATTCACCATCTTGACGACCGAATGACAAGCCTCAAGTTTCTTTTTTGGTAATGCTTTAGTTAACATATCGGAGCCATTATCATCGGTATGGATTTTCTTAAGTTCTAACAACTTGAAATTCAAAACATCTCTAATTTAATGGTATTGAACATCAATGTGCTTTGATCTAGCATGAAATGTAGAATTTTTACCAAAGTAGATAGCACTCGACTATTATAAAACAACATATAACTATCTTGCTTGAAACCGAGTTTCTAAACATATTTCTTCCTATAAGCAACTCTTTATAAGCTTATATTGCTGTAATGAATTCTTCCTCGGAAGTGGAAAGAGAAAAACAATTTTATAGTTTAGATTGCCAAGTCATAACTTCCTCTCGTAAAAGTAATCAAATATTCAGATGTAAACTTACGAGAGTTAATTTCTTCTATCATGTTTGAATCTATATAGCCAATCAAATCTTATTTTCTAGCACCATAAGACAACTTTAAATTGTTTATGCCTCCGAGATATCACATTATCCACTTTACTCGTATTTCGATGCTCCTTGCCTAAATTTAGCAAAAATATGCTAACTACCCAACAATATGAGCAATGTTAGGCTTTATATACACCATGGCATACATCAAACTCTCAATAGCTAAAGCATATGAAACTCTCTCGCACTTTTTCCTTTACCTCACATGTAGAAGGACTTTATTAGATGTTTAGCTTAAAGTGGGTTGTAAGAGGAGAGCTAACCATTTTAGCTTTTTTCATCTTAAATCTATGAAGTACCTTCTCAACGTACTTTTTTAAAGATAAGTATAATCTTTTAGTTGCTCTGTCACGTTTAATGCGTATGCTTAAAATTTGCTTTGTTGGCCCTAAGTCTTTCATGTCAAAGAACTTATTCAATTACTTCTTCAAGTTAGCTATCCTTGAAGCATTCTCATCAATAATTAAGATATCATTTATATAAAATAATAATATAATAAAGTCATCATCAAAAAATTTTTATTCATAAACACAATGATCCGATGTGTTTCTCATATAACCTTGCTCCTCTATAATCGAGTCAAACTTCTTATACCACTCGCCTAGAAACTTGCTTCAAATCATAAAGACTTTTCTTCAATTTACACATTAGGTTTTTCTTGTCTTTCACTTGAAATCCCTTTGGTCTGCTCTATGTACATTTCTTTTTCTAAGTCATCATCTAAAAAGGATATCTTAACATCCATATGTTTAACTTTTATGTCAAGACTTGCTATTAGGTCGAGAATAACTCGAACAGATTACATCTTCACCATTAGAGAAAATATCTCAACAAAATAAATACCTATTTTCTAGTTGAAATCGTTCACCACTAATCTTTCTTTAAATCAAGGATGTGTGGCATGTTCTTCATGTTTGATTCTAAACACCTACTTATTTTTCAAAGCTCTTCAATCCTTAAGTAGTCTTACCGATTCAAAGGTATTGCTATCATGTAAAGACTTCATCTCATCATTCATGTCTTCAATCCACTTCTCTTTGTTCTTATCTTCTATTGCTTATTTGTAGGATTCAAGTTCTCTACTATCATTTAACAACAAATACTCATCGGTAAAGTACCTTATAGAAGGTCTTCGATCTCTATTAGATCGTCTAAGTAGAGTTTCTAATGAAATATGTTTATCACCCCGTCTAACTATTTAATCTTGGTCATCACTTGATACATCATCATGAATTTGACTATTTTCTTATAGGTCTTTATCATTCCGTAATCCTTGCTTAATTTGTAAATCATCTTACTTATTATGTTCAATCGGCTTA